ACTTGATAATCCAACCAATCTACAACTGCATACAATCTATAATTATAAGTATACATATGCACATATTACATTTTTGTATTTATACAACACACATGAAGTTGCATTGATAAAAAGCATAGTGAAGGTTTAAGAGACATTAATTAGATGAACACAAATACACAATCTCAGAGATTCACGACCAAAACCCAATGATAAGAAATACACCTTTTAAATGCTATCTGGAGAATTAAGGCTAAAGAGCTAAAAATCATATTATTTTAGAATTCTCTCTTCCAAGAGCATTTACAATCAGTGCTGTTTCTGAATGGCTTTATAACTCAGGTTCACAAAAATATTTAAAATAATCCATTTTAACAGTAAAATTGAATGCACTCTGTTGTTAAAAGGTATCAGAAAATATCTTTCAAACAGCATTTTAGATGTTTTTCTTTCAAAGTAGGTGCCATTTATGTATATTTTTATTGCTTTCCTAAATAAAATTTTGCAACGTTTCAAAAGGTATTCTGTGTGCGCAACAGTTTTATGAAAGAACAATATTTTCTCCAACATCTCCATCTGCTGGCTTAGAGAAAAAGTAGATTTTTATCTATTTCTTTAAAATTTAATATTTTATGATTTGTTTTTACGGAATTGAAATATAAAATTTTTAAATTATTAAATAGATGAATAACTATTTGTCAAAGTTACCCATGAAATAAATAGAAAGATTTTAGCAAGAAAACCAATATTTAATATTTTAAATTCCAAAATCCTATGAGATCAAACAATCATGTTTACAGTCCATTTAGACAGTTTTATTTTAAACACGGTTTTGAAATTAGAACAGTATTAACATTTATTAATTTTCTTTTAGAATGCAATAGCATTTGGTGTTTTTTCTAAAATCTGCTGTTGATTTTATTAACAATATAAACTATGTGGTGAAAATACATATGCAATATCATATTTACTGTTTTCACAATTCTGAATTACTGCAATAAACTGGTTTTGTGTAAGAACTATTAGACCATCTTCACATCCTCATACTAAAGTTCTTAGATAAGACCACAGAGGCCAGTGCACAGGCCTGCAGCTCTTTTAAAACTATTCAAAAGGACATGGTGGAGAAAAGGTTAAAAAAAAAAAGAATTAATATAAGAAAAACATTCATTTATTCTCTGACAACTAAGGGGCATTCAATAAATATGGGAGGGAGTGGGGAGAAAGAAATTCTTCAGGCCCATCACTGTGGTTTCAACTGTTGAACAATCGTGCTCAAATGCTAATTTCTTTTTTCTCTAATTTTATCGTTTTCATATTCTCAGAATGAATGTTTTTGTTTGAACAACCTTCAGGGAAAAAAGACTGAAAACCTTAGAATTATCTGTATCTACAAAGAAAGGAAGGAGGAAGAGGGGATATGGGGGAAGGAGAGGCAGGTGGGGGTGAGGGATGGGGACAGGAAGGGAGAGAGAGAAATTGGAATCTGTCTTTATTTCTTCAGGTACCCATGGAAACAAGTGGGAACAAATAGGTACTTGCATTATCCCGCTGTGACTGTGAAAGAGAAGGATGTGGGAGTTCAGTGCAGTGCACAGTCATTTTACCCACTTCAGAATATAATGACTTCATTTCATTTGCATAACCTTAACCCACTCAGTAGATCTTGCCGGATCCTTAAGTGGTTGTCAACCTCAGCAATTCCAAATAAGTTCCTCATCTCAGAAATAAAATTAAATTAGCAAACTAATATGTTTTGTACTTTTAAATAATTCAAGTATAGAACACCACTTTCTTATTATGTAAACTTAATCCTGTGTAATTTTTATGGCTTAATTAGAAAAACAAGCTACTTTCTGAACACTGATGACACATATTTTAATAATGGAGTTTAAGAGTAGACTTCCTTTGATTTCTGGGGGAAAAGAGAGAAAGTCATTTTGGTTTTAGCTATCACCACATTTGATGCTGCTCCTTCCATAGAGAAACATGGACTCCTCTGACTAATAAGGCAAGAAAACAAAGCTAAGCCCTGGGGGAAAATCTTGAGCAGGATTTAAATGATCAAGACTCATCTAGAAACATTTGATATTAGAGATTTCCATTCATTTCTTCATTGCTGACTTTGTAGTTTTATATAAGCATCTTTTTTTTCGGAAAAGAGTTAAACTATTTTTACATTTCTTTGTTGCCTTATGCAAAGAAAAAGAAAAAGAAAAAAAAAGAATATGAATACAAACATTTTACAATCTCCACATTTTGAAATTCCTAAAAGAATAAAGACACTGAGCCACAAAAAATAGTCAATGAATCAGTGTCAACTCCAGAAAATTCTAGCCAATGAGCTCTTCTATAATAGTGCCACTTTAGCAATCACTAAGATTACTTATGACATGGATGTTGCAAATGCCATCATTCTGAAGTCCCATGAAGTCCCTTGAAAATTCATTCAGTTCCTCCCCATTATTTGTTTTAGTACCCTAGAGTAATAATCCATGGAGGAGTAATTTGGGGATCTGGAGACACGTACATTTTAATTTCAGCTTCATTTCCCGAGCAAATCAAAACAAAACAAATGTGTGCAAAATGAAGATGTCACTTTCATTTGTTTTTCTCAGGACTGTAGTCAAACAAATTGTGTGTGTGTAAATGAAATCCATGTCCTTTAGTACATAGATGTTTCATTCTGTGGAAGCTCTTTGAATTATATATATAATGTATTAAATATATATATATATTTAATACATTTACATTTCATATTTTATTTCAATAAAATTTATATTTAAAAATTTATTTTAAAATATTGAGACTGTAGACCTAAATTAGTTAACTAACCTAAACTAACCATAACCTTTAATCCTTACAAAGATCCAATACAGTGATCCAGCATTTGTTGGAGTCAAGGAATTTTGATTTTGTTCAGTGGACATACACCCATTATATCTCAGTCAGGCCCTCTTGCTATTTTCACCAGTTGTTATTTTCACCTCTTGGCTATTTCTCAATCATTGACCATTTTCAAAGAGTAAAGATTTTAGTTACTTTCACCTCATTTTAAAAACTACATCCTTCCAGTAATCATAGTCTTGATGTAGGCTCATTACTTTTCAAAGCATTTTCACACTAGTATATAATGAAATACAGTTAGGTACTTAGCACAGTTGTATGTCAGTCATAATTCAGGGGGGGGGGAAACCTGGGAACTTAATTTCAAATCAAATGAATAATCTAAATCTGTTAGGCAAATAGATCAAGTATAAAAACCTTCAAAAACTAAACTATATGTGTCTGTGTGTGAGTGTGTGTGTGTGTGTGTGTGTGTGTGTGTGTTTTATGGGAGGGGGAGAAAAGAGAGATTTTCCAAGATAGCTTTGTATTTTTATGGAGGTTTTTTTGAAGCTGCAAATTCACTTTAAGAATCTGTCTATCTCCTTCCTTACCCTTCCTTCCCACGCCCCCTCCCCCAGGTTCTTTTCTCACTTGGTCTCAACATTTGAAGAAAACTTGTAGCACTGAAACCTTCTTAAATAGGGTCTTTATAACAATTTATTCATAGGCATCTAATCTACTAGGAGTATCATAATGACCCTGCTCTAATGGCCAAAGAAAACTGTTTCATATCTTTAATCATCCGGGTGACAGCGGTTTCAAAAGGAGTTGATAATGTCCCTGATATGATAATCAAGCTAAGCCATCGAATACATGATTAAGACTTCATATGAGGATGTGGGATGGCACCAGTTGTTTGCCTACTGTGGGAAGAGAGCACTTGGGTTTTTTTTATTTTGTTTTGTTTTTCTTTCTGTGGTAATTTTCCACTAGCTCCTTTCCACTGTAGCCAAGATGGGAGGTGCGCCATCTGCAAAGCCCCCTCTAAACTGTTCATGATGAAACACAAACTGCAAACATCAGATCAGGGAGGAATCAGCCCAGCCCGTTCGGCAGGAAATGATGGCAGCTGCGGGGAAAGGGGCAGGAAGGCACAGTGGCTCGCCGCACAGCCCACGCGGGCGCGGGGGTTGGAGCTCTGGGCTCAGTTCCGGCCGCAGCGCCTTTCCATGCAGCCCTTTGGGGACCCAATTGCTTGGATTCCGTTACTTTGCAGCCTTGAGAGAGAGCTCTATCCCGCGTGTGATGGGGCTCCTATGGATAACCAACTGCCAAGACTAAAATGGCTGATCAGAGGGACTTCTCCAGATTTTCAAACTCAGCCGGTTCTAACTGCTTTCAGGAGGTCCTTTTCCAATCTCACTGCCCTTGCCGGCGCCGGGCTACCTGAGAACAAAGCGCACCGGGCCGGCGAGCTGCCCGCGGCCTCCCTGGCGGAATGGCCCCCATCCATGGAAAGCGGAGGCTGCACGGCGCGGCCAGAAAGGGACCCGCTCCCGCTCCCGGGTGCCGGGCTGGGTAGCCCCCGGGCCTGCGCCAGCCTCTCCGCGCACCGTCCCGCGCCCCTCCGGGGGGCCTTATGTAACAGACCCGAGCCCAACTCCGGCTCCATCTCACAACGAGTCCTGCCGAGGCGGACAGCATGGGGCTCGCGGGGTCTGTAGAGGGAACCCCACCTGGCCTGGACGTCTAAGCTCGGGCGGTCCCCTGTGGGATCTACCCAAAGCCCCGCGGCGCGCCCTGGGGAACAACGTGTTCCCGGCGGGCAGGGTGCCACCAGGCGCGCAAGGTGGGGAAGGCAGGGGCAGGGAGGAGCAGTGGGTATCAGCTGGAAACCCCTGAACCTAAGGAAGCTCTCCTCCTTCCTCCCCCGCAGCTCCAACGCCCACCCCACCTCCCCAGTGCGCACACTGTGCCATTCCTCTCGCTGCCTCCTCCACACCCCCAGCCAGCGGGGGTCCCCGAGATGGCAGCCACTGTCTTCCCCCCCCCCGCGCGCGGTCACACGCACGCGCGTGTGCAGCCACGCACACCCACACACGGACACACTGAAGCCGCACACACCGCCCCGCACTCACACCCGCCGGCCCTCCGCGCGCGGCGCCAGGAAGGCATGAATATTCATCACTTACACGCATTGGTGACTGCGAAGCTGTTTGCTACCTCCAGATTGTCGATGTGCGGCGTGAGTCGGAACTCCGAAGTGGAAAACTGAACCATCCCTACCCGAAAGGCACTGTATTCTTGATCTGCGCCCCTGGGAAAGAGCCCCCCTGCAAAGAACAAACACCAAGCGGGGGATCGTGTCAGTGCCCGGGAGGGAAAGCAGAGGAGCCCGCTAGAGCCCAACAGTCCTCCAGGAGTCTCTCATTCACGCTAATAAGCGGAATAACGGAATAAGCACAGGAAGGGGCTCCGGTAGCTGGGGGGGTCAGACATCCAAATAGTAACCAAGGGGTCAAGGCACAGCGTCGGAGGCAAGGCGGGTGGCCAGAAACATTTGCCTTTCCTCCTCATCACAAGCTTTGCATTCAGACCCCTAGAGAATCTGAGCAAACGGGGAAGATGTTAAGGCGGAATGAATAAAACCTGGAGGGCTGAAACGAGATTTCCCCCCCACCCCCACCCCCTCTATTGTATCAAGGCATCGTCTTTTCCCTTTGCTTCACCCTACGAGAAAAAAAAAAAAAACATGTATATTCTAGGCAGTTTAAATCTGGAATGCAGTCAAGGGATGACATAAGTCTACATGACATGAATTAATCCGTCCACGGTGAACAAAGATTACTCCCAAATTATGCACAATTCAAAAAAAAAAAAAAAAAAGCAGAGCACAAAGGATACCTACCTATCTGTATGCTGTTAGAAGAGACACCAAAAATCAGTCCCCATAAAACAGGAGAGAGGAGGACAGATATATGCATAATCTTTTGCATTTCCAAGAAAAGTAGAGCATCCACAAGACAGCCCCCTGGTTCCCCCTTTTCCTCCTCTTCCTTTGGCCGTTCTCCTCCGCAAAATTAGATACTCCGCATGTTGGAAACAGCGAATTTTAGCACCAGGCTGCTACCACCCTGAAGGGGAGGCAGAAGAATTCCTATTTTCCCAGCTCCTGCTGCTGGTGGCGGCTGCTGATGCCCTGCGCCCTGTCCCAGCTCCTCAAGTCCAGAGGACTGGCTGGATGCAGCTTTCAGTGGCGCTGCCGCCGTGGTCCCAGTGCCTTGGAATATTCAGCACCCTCCCATGCACTCACACACACTCACCCTCTCTCTCCGCTCTCTTCTCCCTCCTCTCTCTCTCTCTCTCTCTCTCTCTCTCTCTCTCTCTCTCTCTCTCTCTCTCTCTCTCTCTCTCTCTCTCTCTCTCACGCGCGCGCTCGCGTACACACACACACACACACACACACAGCAGACACACACACACAGGCACACACGCGCGCGCACACACACGCAAGTCACAGAGAGGAGCAGGCAGTCCCGGCCGCGCGTGCGCGAGGGCTCGCAGCAGGCTGCCGGCGCGCGCCCCCCTCCCCCGCCCCCGCCCCGACACCCGCACCCAGCACAGCCCGTGCGCGGCGCGGAGAGCGCGCGGCTCAGAGCCCCGGCGGCAGCGGGTTTCCCTCGGCGAGACCTCGGGTCTCGCGAGCTGTCGCGCCCACCGCTCGCCCCTGCCTTTCAGCACCGAGGACAGCGCTCCGCTCCCAGCCCGGCGGCGCTACCTTTGTGTCTGTCGCCTGCGCAGCTGCCACCCCGGGAGATGCTCCAGCCTGGACCCAAGGCGGCGAAGGCTGGTTTCCGGCTGCTGTGTGTGCAGAAGGAGCCGAGCTGCTGCTAATGGTTGTTGGCGGGGAAGCGGTCTGTCACCAGGCCCAGCTGTGTTGGGTTAAAAAGTCATTCTGACGCTTCATTTCGAGAACCTGTGAAACCCACTTAGCAATGTGTCCGAAACGCTGCCATGCACTTCACCTCATCCAAGCAAAACGCAAATGCGCAAACAAAAGTCCCATTGGAGAAGTGTTCCACGATTGTGAACTTCAGCTAAAGATGACATAGCCGTAATCCGGAGGGGGGGGGGGGGGACAAAAACACCCACATTCTACGTACAGAGATTGAATCTTTTGAAATCCCTTTGCATGGGAATCTAATCTTTTAGCTTGTGTTCCACTGGGCTGTGATGCCAACGTGCTGAGACAGCTGGGTAAGGGGAGCTCTCAACAGCCTTCACTGAAGACTCTCACCTGTGGTAGAAACAGGCAGACTTGGTCCCATGGAAGCCCCCTTTAAATTATGGGTTGAAAACAGAAGACCTTCCCTTCCTTTCAAGAAGGAAAGTCTCGGGGGGAGGGGGGAATCAGGAGCTGAAGCATGGCTAGAAAGGGCTCTGAGCTGCCGACCCTTTCCCAGACACAGAAACCCAATGCTCCAGCGCATTTTAGCTGTGAGTTCGGAAACATCACTGCCCACAGAAAGCCAGCTGTTATCATTCAGAACCCACGAGCTCCAGACTCCTGGGGAGGGTGTGTGGGGGGGTGAGGGGAGAGGGATGAAGTTAGGAGTTAAACATGTGTGGGAGAGGAGTTAGTAAGGAGGATTGAAGAATGGTCTTTCCCAAGTGGAATTTGAGCATTTCATGTGAAATTGCTTGCCAAACCCATGCTGGGAACCTGCTCTGGCAATTCCCTCTGCTGCCCCAGAAATGTGTCATTAAAGTAAATGGCTTCTGTGGCTTAAAGAAATAAAGGAAGATTAAGTACAAGGGATTGTTTCCAGGAGGCAGGGAATCAGAAAGCACAATAATAAAGGGATAACTTGCTAATATTTTGGAATGTGAAGAAAGTCAGTCGGTCCCACAGCCTTCCAATGCAATAGTCAGATGACTATCGTTCCTTCAGCCTTGTGTTGACTGCATTATTGAATACCTGCTGCTTACTCACTCTCAGTCTCAATTTTCCCATTTTGAAAATGTGATTTTAAGATATGGTTTTCCCTGTTTTTGTTTTTGATATGTATTCCTCAAGCAGGAATATTTATAATTTATTACTAAGCTTATAGCCTACAAGTAAAAAAACAACAAAACAAAAAACCTCCCAATATTATCCCCAATAAATTATTTTAGTCTGTCAATAAACACTTCACTGTATATGAAGTGGATTCTGTGAATTAAAGTGCATTTAGCCTTTTAAAATTAAGTAAGAATAAAAATAGTAAGAGAGATAATATTTATCAAATTTGAAAGAAAAATTGAATAAATCTTACCTATTCAATCCGTAATTGAGATGTAAGGCATAACAATGATATGAACTGATTACCTATAATTTCTCTCTCTCCATATGTGTGTGTGTGTGTGTGTGTGTGTGTGTGTGTATATATATATATATATATATATATATATATATATATATGAATGACAGCTCAGAGCAAAATAAAACTTTTTCAGATATTTCCTGTTTTTCTCTTTTAATTTTTTTTATAAAAGAACTTTTGATTTTATACAAAATATCTTGAAACAAAAGAAATGAGAAAAAAAGAGATAGGAACTTAGATGTGGAGAAACAGTGATGTTTAAAGTGTAGTTCAATGTAAATTACTTTTTTAAAAAGACATTTCAAAAACTATTTCAAAGTCTAGAGCAACAATGAACTCAAAATTACTTGAATTACATTCTATAGAAACAAATAGTATAAAATAAGAGTTTGCTGAATCATAGAGCATTTTTCTGGTAAATCATATGTAAGAAATCAAGGTAAATATTACTGTTTACTGACCAATTATAATTTATATATAAAACAAAAATTTTAGAAGGCATTGCTTGTAAATCAACTACTATTAATGCTTCTTTCACATGGTACTTTTGTTTGTACTTTTCACAATATATCTAGATATGTTTCCTGCAATACAGCATAATTATTTTAATATTATAATTCACATAACTTTTTCAAATTCACTATTATATTTATATGGCTTATATTTTCAAACATAAAATACTGTCAATATAAATGTAATAAATTTAAATTGACTGAAATAATGGTCATGAAAATAAATGTTAAATGCTGTCATTTATTTTGAATGTTTAGAAACTTTTTGTTTCAAGAATATATGTGAAATTGGTCATCAATAAAATCCATTTTGAAAATTTCCAGGCCACTAGTACTGTTAAATACAGTGTGTATCAGGGAACAGTTTGCAACTTTCTGCCCTCTGCTGTTCAATTTTGGTAATTATCTAAAATATAAGTATTGTTTCTGAAGCAAGGTGTAAATTACATTTAAAACAAGGAGCAATTAAAATATTATACATCCTATCGTTTGTTTGATTGGCTTGCTTTTGTTACAGTAGTTGTGTTTTGTGTGTGTTAAAATATAATTTTAGCATTAAAGCTACTAATAAATAATGTATGTAAAATTTCAATTCCTGTTTTACTCAATCTTTGTTTCAATATAGGAAACAGTAACTTTTACTTTAAACCTGCTTTAAAATGTTTGAGGATTTTATATATGTTTATTCATTCTGCACATTTTTAAATTTGTGTTCTATAATGAGAAAGCAGTGCATAAAGGAATGTCATTGTGTGGGTCTGGGAACGATAATTTTGAAATAACTGGAAGAGCAAATTCTGGCTGATTTCATTTTCAAAATTGGATTATAAAAGTGTGTACAACAGTTCCTAGTGATGGAGTCTCACCAAAGCGAGATCCTCACTTCTCTTCTTATTGACCCTCTGGAACTGTGAGAATGTAGGCCATCTGAAAGGCTTGGATACATAATTAGCAGTTCCTACAGAAGGAACCCAGGTTCCTCAATGGAAAACCTATTGGCTAAGAAAGAGAACATTTAAAAAAAAAGAAGAGAAAGCTGAGACTTTTCAGGGCTATAAATAGAAATATTCATTCTGGGAAATTTTAGTGCTTTAATTAAGATAAAGAATAATATCAATGTAAATAGTTATTCGGATTGAGGCAATATTATTTTTTGTGCAATAAAAATTTAAATCACTGACTCAGTAAGATCAATTGCATGACCCAAACATATAATACACACACACACACACACACACACACACACACACACACACACACACTAGTAGCCTTTCGCATGATATCGCGTGCAGTAGACCGCCCATCGCTTCCACAGGGGGTGAGCCCACTGTCTCCTCTCTGAGCCTGTGCTGGGCTGTAGAGGCTGCAGGCTGGCCCCCTTGTCCCCCCGAAGTCCACCGAAGCCGGGGCATTGCCATGGCGATGAAGCAAGCATTCCACCAGGCCACTCATGCTGCCTGCTCTCAGTGGCAGTCCTCCCAGGATTGGGGGACTCCAGGGAGTCTGAGGGGACTGGGTGCCACCATCTTTGTGACAGAGTGATAGTTAATTTTCATATTACCCTTTTATTAGGTAAATTTTTCAATTTTGATTATATGAATTTTAATTAATTTTATCCTAAAAAGTAGCAATCTTATACCGAAATATTTATTAGAAAATATTTGATTTAAATTAATTAATTTAAAAAACTATTAGGGACTACTATATTACAAGTAATGTACTTAATACAATGGATAACATGATGGATGTATTATAATGGAAGCTTTCCTCATGAAGTTCCTAAACCTCATTCAAGTAAACAAACAATTAAGACCATGTGAGGAGGCAATCAGGATTAAAAAGTCACGTGATTAAGATAATAGGATGAAGAGAAGAAAAATCTTTTATGCACAATATATCTTGGAGCTCAGGAAGAGTCACCAGAGGATGAGACCTGAAATTAGTCAAGTAGAGGCTACCTTGGTGAAGAATTGGGATGTAACTAGCGAGAAGACTTCATTTTTAAATTTGATTTTTCAGTTTTATTGAAGTTTAATTGACAAATAAAACAGTAAGCTATTTAAACTGTACGGTGTTATTTACTTTACTATGTGCACATACTACATTGTGAAAGATAACCTC